TGTTGATACAAATTATTTATATTTAATAAATGACTCAATATGACTATTTTCTATTGCAATATTATTATATTTATGAAGTCCTGATAAGAGAATCTAAATAATTTTGAGGATATTTCAATAGTTGATTTTTTGATTCGCCGTGTCGAAACAGACAAACTAATGCAACAGATGATCATGATTAATATACAATTTTTGTGAGGTATTATTATCTTGTATTAAATTCACACGATTTCACATTTTTAGTTTTTCGAACAGTTAAAGTGCGATTCTCTTTTTAAGGATCAGCCTTAAAAAATGACTTGACCCAACCTGTTGCTGTAGCTGTAGAAAATATATTTCAAGTAATTTTGAAGAATTTGTGCTGTTGGGAAAACGGATTATGTAGTGTTGTCAAAGAGGTCGGCTCCGTTTTTAAAGATAACAAGTGAGAGTGACGCTATTATGGCGTCAAATAGTATACGTATATAAATCTGTTTATTTATCAATAATTTTAAATTAGTTGAAATGATTAAATAATGATTAATTTTTCCATTTAATTTCATTTATAATTTTTTAATCACTTCGGAAACAACTTCCTATTAGTCTGAATAATCTTTTTCAAATTAATAGAGAGATTTCAATAAAGAAATTGTTTTAGTATGCGTCAATTGCTGCAGGTTTGTCTAAATGTTGTAAGTTCAGTCCCATTTCAAAAATAATTTTTAATGGTTGCGAAGAAATTAGAATGATTTACATAAAAACCTTCTCATCACAAACCGCATTATTCATTAAGACCGGCGTCTTATAACGAATATTCTGTAATAGCTCCTTAAACCACAAAGTTGAAAATTAATATTCGTCACTTGTCTTTGCATGCGCTGCTTAGTCATCTGCATAGATTTTGCATAAGACCCAAGCGGCACAAATACTTATTTATGTATGCATATTGATACATAGGTATAATTATTAACATTTCATACCAAAGAAAGCAATAACCCTTCGAGTTGTCTTTCCTACTGTTTCTTATAAAATTTGTATAATTTTAAACACACATTTTATTGCTCTTCTCCTTCTCCTGTAGTGACATCCACTACATTGAGTCATGTGTCATATTGATTGTATACCTACTTTCGTACTTTCCGAATATGGTACGACTGTAATGCTTCCTAAGACGCTGTCATATATCTCTGTATCTGGCAATGAGTCAAAGCTACTTTCATAAATAATTATGATTGCCATAATCCTTGTTTTGTCACCATTCAATTGTTGAAATTGCATATTAAATGGGGAATTTAAACGTTCCACTGAAATATAGAAATAGAAGAGAATAACCTGACTGTAATTCAATTGATATTATAATGCAAATCATAAAACGATATATTTGGTATATATGTAATTAGCATTGATAGAAAATAGAAATAGGTGCTAAAGATTTACTATTAGTACAGGGTGGGGCTCTCTTTCTATAGGGCTATGTATTAATATAATATAATATTATATTATCGGCATAATCTTATCCCAGTCAGTGGAAGAGAAAACTGGAAATTTGCATATTCAGTCAATATGATCTCGTATTGTTCCGTTCCCACGACGTCCGTAACCGGACTTTTATCCGGCCAAGGAGTGTTAACTTGGCAGAACTCTGCTGCTACAACAAACTCTTATTGACAAACTATTGGGACTGTCACTCCTACATTTTTTATTACTTTCCATTATG